AAATTAAAATAAAATTTTTAGGAAAAAAGTGCCAATTTTATCTATTCTATTTCTTCTCTCTTTTTTTCTCTAAGTCTATAGCTTTTGCTTTTCCTGGAACTTCATGAAACAAATACCTAACATGACATTTCCCCCGTAAATACTACAGATTTATCTTCAATAGTATGTCTTTTTAAAAGAAAAACTTAATCATTATCACACTCTACACAGTAATTCCTTAATGCCATCTAATACTAGTACATACTCAAATTTCTTAATTGCCTCAAAAAAGTCTTAATAGTTGGCTAGCTCAAACCCTAAACCAAACAAGCATCATTATATTTGGTTGATGAGTTTCTTAATTATTTTTTTGAACATTCATTTACTACCCTGAAATAAGTCTTAAGAACTATTTAAAAAAAATTAAAAACTGCCCAAACTATAAACTAGAACTAAAAAGATGTTATTAAAAAATTATATGTATTAAATATATTTCAATATGTAAAGGTGTGGACGTAACAATAGAAAATACAAGATATAACCAAACCAAATATACTGCCATCGAGTTGATTCTGATGCAAAGTAACCCTATAGGACAGAGTACAACTGCCCCGTAGGGTTTGCAAGGCTCTAAATCTTTACAGAAGCACACTGCCTGATCTTTCTTCCATGGCTGGTAGGTTCAAACTGCTGACCTTTTAGTTAGCAGCCAAATGCTTTAACCACCACACCACCAGAGCTCCTTACAAGATACAAAGAGGCAGTCAAATGCTTAATCCTATGAGAATCGCCATGAATGTCACAACTACAATGCAGATAGGATTCAAGTGTGTTGTGTTGGTGACTCAAGTAGCACAGGTGGCAATTCTGTCAGTGATGTGGAATGGGAAGCTTAAAATAAATTTTTAGTAAAACAATTGTTTGTCATATGTTTATGTGCTTTATCTTTTATGTGTCTTTAAATGATCAGGTAGGAATTAGGTTTCAGTAGGAATTAGGTAAGAGGAGGGTGCAGAGGTTTCCAACAGCTAAGGGAGGCAAATTTGTCTGTCAGTTTGTCATCCTGTGAGGCTTGTACGTTGCTGTGAGGCCTGAGGCTGTGCCACTGGTGTTTCAGACGCCAGCAGAGTTGCACATGGTACATAGGTTTCAACGCAGCTTACAGACTAGGAAGAAGGAAGAGGCCATCTAATTCTCAAAAATTGGCCAGGGAAAACCTTATGAATAGCAGAGAACTATTGTCTGATACATTACTGGGCAACTTTATGAATAACTTGGAAACATTGTCTAACACAGTGCAGGAAGACTAGCCCCTTGGGTTGGAAGGCATTCAAAATAGAACTGGGAAAGAGCTGCCTCATTAGCATAGAACCAACCTTTGTTGTTGTTGTTATTTGCCATCGAGTCGGCCCCGACTCTTAGCGACCCCTCCTTGGGTTTCCGAGGCAGTTACCACTACGGAAGTAGGATTGCCCAACCTTCCTTCCGAGGAGTGGCTGGTGGGTTTGAACCACCAGCCTCCTGGTTAGCAGTCAAGT